AAAAAAAAAAAAAGAAAAAAAAAAAAAAAAAAAAAAAAAAAAACAGCCTGAGTCAGGGCAGCAGGGCGGGTACCCTTGGGAGAGCCAATTTAAAGAGAAGTTAACCCAAACAAGGGACCAATTGACTTCCCCCCAAATACCCAGATGGACTAGTCGGAAGACAGGCATGCGGGGGGTTGGGGGAGGGACACGAGACCATAGAGCAAGTAGATGAGGGTGCAGGCCGGCTGTTAGAATGGAGAACACCTATCCTGAAGGACACATCCAACATTCTAACCCTGTCAACTGTCATCACAGTGGAAGGTGGGCCACTATTGATTCTTGTATTTCAAAAGACTGGAAATCCAGATCTCTACCTAAAATTTGCCAAGTTTCCAAATGCTAGGCTTAATAAAGGCAAGACTGCCAGTTGGGCTTCTGTAATATTCCAGCCCCATCAGTTTCCCTGTAAAAATGGGCCCAGCCCAAGCTCGTCACAGTTCCCTTCTCCAAAGTGGCTACTGGCTGAATGACTGCTGACTCTGCCCTCCCTAAGCACAGCCTAATAGAAACGCCTGTCTTGCGACCTTGATGCCAACTTTCACTCCACTCAGCTCTCTGCAGCTGTGCCCTATGTCCTTCCATCAGCCCAATACCCCGCTCCATGAAAACCACGTTCTACCCTTCAGTTCTCACTCCACTGCTTCCACTGGCCCTGCTCCTAAATTCATGACCAGCAGGAGCTTCCTCCTGGCCCTGTCCCAGGCCAGCCCCAAGCCAACTTCTCCTAGCAGCACTCCCAGGATCCTCACCCCATCCTGCCCACTCCCCCAAGGTCTTCTCTGCTCCCCCCTTGCGCAGTCACAGGAGACCGCATCTCTTCCTGAAACCTCTGCTGCCTCCACCAGGGAGGACCTTTGGCCTCCATGCACTGATCATCTGAAAATGCCAATAACCTCAACTTCTCCATGCCACCACTTTGGGGAAGACTGAAGCTCACAGGCCGAATGCCCCCTTCTTCCACTTTCCTTACCAGTAGGCTATCCAATTTCACTTCCTGGTCCTAGCAAGAGACCCCACAGGGCCATGAGTACCACAAACCAAGTGTGCAGCCTCAGCAGAGCCACAGAGTAACTACCAAGCACCCTAGGGCCAGCAGGTTTAGCCCTATGACTTACCTGTCCACATCTCTGCCCTCCAGTCTGTATCTTCTTCAGACAAGGGCTCTCACATGCTCTCCAAAATGGCCCACGACTCTTCCTTACTGCAACCCCCATACCCCTTCTGCTTCCATGATTATTGCTTTTTCCTAGGCCTTTCATGCCCCACCAACCAGATGTTTCCTACTGCTCTACAGCTTTCCATCCAGACATGGTTCTTAGGATTTACACGCTTGACTCCAGATGGACCCACCTAAGGTGCAAACCAAATAAACATGACCAAAGGAACAGTAACCTAAAACCCATAAGGCATTAATGCTCCCCACCCCCACCGCAAATACTCAAGCACTCCAACTCATACTCCCTTCTCTAGGAAGACATTTCTACCCACCCAGTAACCCTAAAATATGCCCTCCTCAAATCTCCCAACCCCATGCAACTGATCAATAACCCAATTTCTAGACTCTTAACACTGATGCCTGAAAAAGCCAATCTGAGAATCAGTATTTGACAAAGCAGCACATAACCTTACAATGTTTCATGAAAAAGCAGCAGATACCCCTCAATGTATCATAAAAATCAAGAACAATCAGATGACTATTTACCAAGCAATCGTACACTACACCTAAATATTCATTAGACTAGAGCCTCTCTCAAATTCCCCACTCATAAAAACTCACTTACCCTATAGGCACAAGCCCACAACACACATTAAGAAATACATAACAGGGGCCAGGCCGGTGGCGCACTGGAGAGTGTGCCGCTTGGGAGCGCAGCAGCGCTCCCGCCGAGGGTTCAGATCCCATGTGGAGACCGGTTCCCGCTCACTGGCTGAGCGTGGTGCAGGCGCAACACCGAGGGTTGCGATCCCGTTGCCGGTCCCCGGTACGGGCGCGACACCAAGGGTTGCGATCCCATTACCGGTCTATAAAAAAAAAAAGACGAAAAAGAAATACATAATAGGTGAATGATGACAATGTGATCAAGCAATTTTAATTTCCACTGAGGCCAGCAAGTAGCTTTTTAAGTAATAAGAGCTAAGTTGAGATCTAGGAAGACCAAAGAGGGATTCGGATTTCAAGCGCCTCTTTTAGAGACCAACCAACTGCACTGATGGCGAATATTAACATGACCACACCAGACTGGCCCTATATGCTCCCTCCCACATTGCTGATACCCCACACCTAACATCTTCACCAGTTATAACAGGGAAGGGTAAACACCACCCCATTACACCAAGTTTCCACTGAATGCTTAATGGAACATGTGAACTTGGGCAGCAATTTAAATCTGCAGTAACAGCAGACTAATGTCATAACACACTCCAGTTAACTTCAAATATACATCAAACCAGACACAAGAAAGTTTTTTTACAATTTATTAGTCCTCTTGTGAAAACGTCACAAAATTATCACAGATGAAGTCACTGCAGAATCTTTACTCCTTCTGTGAATCAGAAGAAAAAAGTTTAGTCAGCAACTGCTTCAAAATTCTTTAAAAATTAAAGTTCAATATGTTCAACAAACTCTGACAAAACTAATGACACTCATGCAGAACAAATATTAGTAACCTAGACTCAGGTTACATTTGTGTGAGCATAACACAATAAAAAATAAAACTTATGAAAACCCAAGTTAGGGATAAAACAAAGAACAGGTTAAATATTACNAAAAAAAAAACAAAACCTTATCACTGTTAGTATTTTAAGAGGTTACAACTCCTCAAAGCATTGGTAAATCCAAATGCATTTCACATGATCTACTTTTAAACCATTGCAAGAGTAGACCATACAGTCTAGTCATCTAAATTAAATGCTTGAATTATACCTGTTATCCAATCTCCAGCTCACTGAATCAGTGGCAGGGAAGGGAAAAAGAGGAAAAAAGGAAAAGAAACACTTCATTAATAGTCCCTTTTCAAACTCCAAAATAATTTGCATTTAGATGCATGCAATCAGATAACTTAAAGATGACCATTTTTTTGCAATTGTAAACGGAGCACTCCTTAGACACAGTCATTGATTTTATTCCTCCAAATTCTGAGAACACCTTGCCTGATTACTGCAGTTCTCATGCAAACAAGGTGGCATGACTATACAATGAAGAGATCATTATGCCAATGTGGTACCAGTCCAGGCTGCCATTGCACTGTGCAGGTAAGTGCACGTACCTGAGCCTCGGCCCTTCTGCTGGCAGACCTGGGAATCACCACATGCTGAAGTCTAATTTAACCTCAATGGAAGAGCTCTAAATGATCAAACAAGTCTTGTAAAGGCTGTCTCAACTAAACACTTTAAAAGCCACCATTCACAGCCACAAAAGTAGTACAAATTAGCATTAAAAAGAGGCAGAATATAGCTGAAGTAAAAATGTTACAATTGCTCTTCAAATATGAGACTACTTATGCCTTAGTTTAAAAAACTCCATTGCACCCAAAAAGTAAAACCAAATACCAATTCTAACACCTGAAAAAACTGAATTCAAAGGAACGTTACTATGGCTGACATTCTTTTGGAGCCACAGAGTACATGTGGTCATTTATGCATTCATTTTCCAACTGGCTTTTCAGAACAGTGCTAGTGAGATGCACCAGTGCAACATGAAGCATGAATATGGTGGCTCAGGTCCCCACAGGTAACCCCTCTACACATGGGACTTGAAGGCTGAGCACTAGCAGGTGGGCTGAATGAAGAAAAGAATGGATGTGTTAAATGTCCTTTTAGGCCGAGGTCAAAGGACAAATTTTGACTATTTCTGCAGCTTCTGTCAACAGGTATAATCCTCACAAACAGGGAGCAGTTCTAAGCAGTGAGTGGTTCCGCTGGCAGTTCATCCATTACTGCTAACTACGTGGCACCAGGACGTCAATGTGATGCCTGGGCAGGCAATACTAAGTTTCTGGCCTTGCTTGGCAGGAAGTCACTGAAAAAGGAAGCCACAGGGGCAGTAGCCACAATGTCTCACAATCCTAATACCCCCACCCCACTCTTAGCCTTCTTTACAAGTTACAGATTTAGACGACTCAAATGTGCAAAATGTGTCTAGAAAGCAGCAGTGGACCATTCTGACCAAATGCTAGGGAAATGCTTTTCTATCTTACCTATCAAAGGCTTTGATGTGAATATACAATTATCTCCATAATTTTTATTAAAAAAGAAAAAAAATAGAAAACCAGAGATTAAGAAGCACTGGAAATGGTAAAAGGCAGCTCTTTTTGAGTGGCTGCTACCAGGACAGAGGCTTTACCAGATTTCATGGACCAGTTTGTTACCAGAGCTGCCAGGGAACTGTCTCATGGTTCCAGAGAGGAAGACTGCTCAGTGGATGGTAGGGCCCTTCTCAAGCCCAGTGTTAACTAAAGCCTAAAGCCATGATTCTCTGAGACACAGCATTTCCCAGGTACATTTTAAAAGGTGCCTGTTTGGTAGAGTACCCACCTTTCTCCAATGAGTCACTTCACCACATAACATGCACTTTTGAGTTTCCAAAATAAACCTGATTAAAAGTTTTCCTCCTTTGCTTGTAATACACTATTTTAAAACATAGCACTGGCATTATAATAGACCATACTATAAAACTGTTGTTCTAAGCCAACATGCAAAGCATCAAAGCAAACTCAGTGAAGGTGATGCATCCCCACACCGTGCTCACAATCTCAGTACCTGCTAGACACTTCATTTCTGATGAACAAGAAATCCAAGAAAGTAGAGGGAAAAGGCAAAAAAAAAAGTTCACAAAACACTTTATTATTTGTTAATTTAACAACCCAACACCTTAATTCCATTCAACTACCTATAGCTACTAAAGCTGGTAAAAAGCAGCTTATCATTAAAATCACTTAGATTTTGGCTAACTGGAGAGGGGAGCAATTCAGAGATCTCAGCTGCCTCTCCAGGGTGCCAGGAAAACATGGGCCACATTGATCCAACTGCCTCTTAAACCAGTGTCCATGTTAAGAAAATAAGTTAAATCTCAGAGAATGAGACCTGCTCGCCTTTTAATAGTCTATGCCAATTAGCAATAAAAGGAAAACTTTTTGATAGGGCTTGAAAGGTACCCATCAGGATCACTGCACCAATGTGGCCCCATGTGGTGCTAATCTGTGAGCTGCTGAGGGGTGGGCCAAGCTACTCTACTGAGGAGATAAAATACTACTATGCTACATAGCTTCGTAAACACATTACCTTCTGCAATCCAGGAGGAGGAAGAGAAGAAACATTAAGAACGGTTATTAAGACAAACCCTCCCTTCTAGAAACTAAAGACCTACAACGGAAGACATTTCTGTATTTTCCTTGAACTATACCTTTTTGCCAGCACCAACATTGGCCTTTGCAGTCCCCCTGACTTTCTTCATTCTGTTCTTGCGTTCCTTTCGCTGTTTTCTTGAGGTCTTTTTCTTCTCATACAAGCCATGCTGAAGGAGAAAGAAATGTCTAGGTGACTCATCATTACCCACTACCTTAGTAGGAAAATCAACCAAGTTAGACCTTAAGAAACACAGCTGTCCACCAAAATGTTTAACAATGTGGGCTGTTTGTGCTAGAACAGAAAGGATCATCGAATCAAGAAATACTAAATTAGAATAAGGTCACAAGAAACAGTCTAATCAGCACTCCCTGAAAGGGAAGTTCGGGGGACTGGCTGTTACTGTCTAGCCTTGAGTGCACAGCTCACTAGATTCCTACCCTTTTCCTTTTTGTACTACCAAGATACCTCCCAACTGGCTTCCCTTCAGAGTCTTTTCCCATTTCAACTCCCCATTACTCCCTAAAGACAGAGAAGCTTCTATCAACTCTGCTGAGCAGCATGTTCACTGCTCCCCTTTCTGATCCTCAGCACTGGTTCCTGATACAGTGCAGATGCTGTGAGACGTGGCTGTACTCACTTCAGATAACCGGTCAAGGCCTTTTTATGGGCCACGCAAGCACTCACTTCAAAGACATCTGAACCATCCTTTTATCTTTGAATTTTAGAGGCTCGTGTCCTTGGACACTCAGCGGCAACATAAATGAACCCAATTTAATGCAATGCATTTTGTTTTTACGTGTTTGTGTTAATTCATTTTAATTTATTGTAATCTCCTTCATGACACCTTTTAGAAGAGACCATCAGTGTTTTTTTTTTAATTTGGCCACAAATCCATTAATAAAACTTGACACATTTTATTGTTAAAAAAAAAGACAGAAGCCTTTACCAAGAGCTCCCCACCGTGGAGATTCCAACCTACTCATCTTCACTCTGCCTATCTTTGCACTTGCTGTTCCTGCTGCCTAGAAAACTGTTTCCAAATTTTTACAAAGGTTGCAGCTGCACTGTCACCTCCTCAGAAAGGCCTTCCCAAACACCCAACTAAAAATAGTGCAGCACCCATCTACCACGCCAGCAGAATTTCCTTCACAGCCACTGTATGGTAAGACTAATCTTACAGCAGGGAGTAAAAACGGGTTAAAAGTGGAAAGACAAAAGAAGCATTTCAAGGTAATAATGTTTGTTTGTTTACTAGAATGCAAGCTAGGGAACTTGCCCAGTTCACTGTTGTTGTTCACTATGAAGCGTTTGGTACTCAGTAAAAGATCAAAGACCTTTTGTGGTTCCAGGCTACGTACAGGGTTAGATCCAAACTCAGAATTTGGTATTTAAGGACCTCACTGAATCTGGTGCCAGGTTACCTTTCCAAACTCACCCCTCTCCTTTCCCTCTGGAAAACAACCCTTACCCCTAGCCTTTATCCATGAGCACTATTTTACCTGTCCTTCTGAACCCAGCTCAAATACCACTGACTCCAATTTTGAACCCTCATATTCTATGTGTGCATTTATCAAAGAACCTTTTCTCTTAGAGTTCCTTATGTGTCTATAATGTATGATATCCCTCCCCAAACATACAGTCTACTACACCCACAATATACCGCTATTAAAAAAAAGTCTTCAGCAGCTGTTGAACAAATGAAAAACACCTACTCTTGCAAGTCTGTGTTTGGGTTCATTTTTCTTTGCATAATCCAAGGAATCGTAAATCATGCCAAAGCCAGTTGTCTTGACACCACCAAAATGTTTCTTTGCATAATCCAAGGAATCGTAAATCATGCCAAAGCCAGTTGTCTTGCCACCACCAAAATGTGTTCTGAATCCAAACACAAAGATGACATCTGGTGTGGTCTTGTACATTTTAGCTAGTTTTTCCCGAATTTCTGTCTTAGGTACTGTTGCCTTCCCAGGGTGAAGAACGTCAATGACCTAATAAAAAATATCAAGTTTAGTGTTATTATAATGAAACATACCTTTAAAACAAACAATTACCAAACTTTGATGTGCCCTTCCTTACCATTTGTTTCCTCTGAAGTAGTCGGTTGGTCATGAACTTCCTGGTCCGGATAGTTACTGTGTCATTCTGAAAACATAGCACACTAGTTAATAAAACTACTACTACTCTACCCTGTCCAATTCGGTAGCCACTAGCAATGTGGCTAATTAAATTAATTAAAATTAAGTAACATTTTTTTTTTTTTTAAAGATGACCGGTAAGGGGATCTTAACCCTTGACTTGGTGTTG